GTTGCCCGTTTTTGTTGCTCCTCTTTCCAAGAGTGACCATCATCAACTTTCTCCCAACAATATCATTGGATAGTTAAGAGAGAGGTTATGAGAATTACCGTATTTATTCGAATAAGCGCCCAACCTCGAATAAGCGCCCACCTCGAATAAGCGCCCATCCTAAAGGCCGAAAAAGGTAATAAGTGCCCAGCCTCGAATAAGCGCCCACTATCAAGGTCCAAAAATTTAATGAGCACCCAGGGCGGTTAATCGAATAAATACGGTAGCAAAATTTTTTTAAAGACATGATTCGTACAATCTTAAAGAGGTCTTGAAATTTACTAGTCGTGTTGAAAAGTCCAGTCCTTGTATTCAGTTGAGGTCATTGAAAAGTACTTAATTTCTTTATTAGGTCTTGAAAAGTCCTTGAAATTTACAACCTTTGGCTTGTCTACGCCAGACACCTTTTTCTGTCAAACTAATTAGATTATTTTGCCGAGGAAAGTTTGGCTCATCCTCGGTGTAAGGACCTGTCAAGCTCACAGAGTTCAGTTGTGCATGAACAATATTTTATTTCTGTTTCTTTAATTCAAATGCTATGTCTGTACCTCAGATGCAATTGCATGTCATACCCAGTCATTTTGCAAAGTCTTGTTGCAGAAAGTAGTGTAAAATTATGTGATGAACGATGGCCGAAGAAGTAAAAATCGTAAATGACTCCATGGCGTGTCTAAGCCAATAGGGTGATCCAAGGGGGTTAAAGAATGCTGATTTATCGAATAAATCTTAGTCCTTGAACACTGTAATTTGTCCTTGAAATATCCTTGAAACCACTTGAAGTTGTTTGTCTGAAGTTGTACGAACCAAAATGCCTTGATCTTTATCAATTTATCTCCTCTTCTAATTCTCTAAGGAAAGATATGGAGATCAGTCTGAAGAATTTGTATGTGAATATTGGGCTTAGAGGGTTAATTGCAATATCAACTGCTTTTTTGCAGTGACCGTGATGAACACTATGTGGAATGTACAGTACAGACCCATTGGTAATGAGCCTGTCATCTCCTTTGGCTCAGGAGTCACTTGGGACTGATAATCAAATGACGCTCAATAAAGCGTATAGAGTTAAATCAAGAATTGTGTGTGTTATAGACGATTTGACCATTATACGTTTTTGGGAAACTGCCCACCTACCCCTCCCTTAAACCAATATTAACACTTACTTTTCACTTAGGGCAAAATGTTGGCTTAGGGGAGGGGTAGGTGGGCAGTTTCCCAGAAACTTATAATGATCCGTTTCTGGGAAACTGCCAACCTACCCCTCCCCTAACCCAACATAACACTTGAATCTCACTTAGGGCAAAATGTTGGCTTAGGGGAGGGGTAGGTGGGCAGTTTCCCAGAAACTTATAATGATCCGTTTCTGGGAAACTGCCCACCTACCCCTCCCCTAACCCGACGTAACACTTACTTCTCACTTGCGGCAAAATGTTGGCTTAGGGGGCCCAAATCAGGTCATATTTTGTGGCTTTAATAATGCTCCCTACGGTGTAAATTGACACTTGAAAGAAGTCCCACTTCAACCCGACCTAATCTGAAATACCAACGTCTCCTCAGTCTCACTCACTGACCAATCAGAAACAAAGAAAAGGGCAACCTCGTTTCTAGAGTAGGAGAAAATCCTGGAATGAGATTGAGAAGAACACTGATAATATTAAACTCGCTACTTTTTTTTCCTACCAAAAGAGTGCATTCTTTTGGAGCTAAATAACCGCGGGCCATTTTTGAATCGCTCAATGAAAATTACCGTGTTTCTCGGCTGAGAAGAGGGGCGCTTAATCGAGGGGTGGGGAGTATTACTTCCAACGAATAGAGTGTTTTCACATGACGTCACGACGGCCATATTGGTGTTCTAAAACAATAAAACGGCGGCCATGTTGGTGTTTCAAACCAATCCTGTGGGATTTGAACTCTTTTCTTATGAAAACACTTTCTTTTGTTCCAATAAATTTGCATAGATGCTGGCCACGTGAGTGAAAACGCTCTGTTGTAATCATGTTTTGGTTAAAACTACAGCATTATCCACGTAAACGTTAAGTCGATGTCAGTGTCTTTCGTTTGTGAAAACAGTGGTTGGTAATCAAGCGTACTATATTAGGGACTGGTCAAAAAGTATGGGGGTGGGTCGGAGCAGAGAGGGGGTGGGTCATGAGGTTTTGAGCCTTGTGCAAGGGGTGGGTCGTGCAATCTTCAGCTACCCTTAAGGGGTGGGTCACCCTATTTTATTACATAGATAGGCACTAACTACTAATGAGACAGTTGACCACACTTGTTACATAAATAATAAAAGTTTGTGGGTAACCTTTGTCAAGGCGTTTTTTTTGGGGGGGGGGGAAATTTGAATTGGATTATTAAGAGGAAACCAAACACCCATGTTTTGATACTAGGGGGTGGGTTATGAAATTTACAACCTTGCTTTAGGGGTGGGTTAGTCATTTTTGTGCCGAAGGGAGGGGGTGGGCCATGTGTTTTTTATCAACCACATTTCCAAATGCTCCCCCCTATACTTTTTGACCAGTCCCTTACACACATGTATTGCTAAGCATGTTTATAAAATATTGCTTATCTCATTATCATCATTAACTATCCATTATCTCATCAATAAAGTGGTGATAGAAACAGGTTTCTATTACCACTTGGGTAATATTCTCTCTATTTTTAGAGAGTCCAGTTCGTTCAGAAAAATATTGTGATCGATAATGTCGAAACCCTTCGTAAAGTCAGCATAGAAAATCCGTGCAGAGCAATTTCCTAAGTCCACTGCTTCGTGAATTGCTTGTTTGAGGTAAATCAGCGCATGGGTAGTAGAATGGTCATGGCGGGCATATTGTCTTGGTTCCATATCACTGCTTAACTGTTCCAATAATCTTCTGTGTGAAAACGCCTCAAGTACCTTTGCTAAGCAACTGGTTAATGAGATAGGCCTCATGTCTGACGTAATATCCTGGGAACAGGCGTATAAATTAAAATAATGACAATAGATTTAAAGGGTGGGGAACAAATCCTTCTCTCAGTGACTGAGACAAACACCCTGTCGCAAGCTCTAAGATAGTAGCCTGCGTAGCTGGTGGGATCAGCGGGATTGCTGTAGCTTTTACGCCGCCAAAAATAGACCTTATTCACGATTCACGCCATCTTTGCACGCGCTAAAAGACTGATGGGAAAAAAGCAACGTCACGTGGTTTCTCAGGGGGCAAACAAATGAGAAAAGCTGTCAATAGAGAGATTAAGATTCACGTTTACTGCAAACGGCAAACGTCAGACTCAAGTTGAGAATTTCTAAGTATAGAAAATAAACAGGCAAAAACAGTCCCGAACGATTCCTATGGTTAAAACTGGCATAAAACAACTTGTTTTTGTTTAGAAGCAATAAAGAGAAAACGGAAAATAAGGGGAAAACTTTGTCACGTGGTACAAATTCACGTCTGCCGTTTGGCGTAAACGTAAATCTTAATCTCTGTAATACAAGAAATCTCGGTCGAGTTTGTTTACTCTAAACAACAGAAAATAAAGAACTTTTCATTATAAAGACGATAATGACAAATTATGGGTAGAAGTAAACATCGTTACTTCTTTGGATGCTGTAGCAACCGTAGATGTCCTCTCAGCAAACAATAATGACGTAAATCTTGTCGAAACTCCAAATGTACCTTTTGCTAGTCTATTCAATCGTCGTCTTGTTTTGATAGCATAAACAAACTCGACCGCGGTTTCTTGCATTGGCAGCTTTTATCATTATTTTGTTTGCCCCCTGAAAAACCACGTGACATTGCTTTTTTCCTATCTTGCTTTTTTCCCATCAGTCCTTTAGCGCGTGCAAAGATCGCGGATTAAGAATGTACCCCCAGCACAAGAATCCCGCCAGCTAAAGCAGGCTAACAAGATAGCAATGCAGAGACCCGTAAAAACGCAAGGAGCGAGAAGGCACTTTTTTACCGCCACCGCCCTATTCCCCAGATCGCGTGCTTCTTATATTGTTTTTTTATCAGGCTACCTGTTTCACGGAATATATAATAATTTTACTTACAGTATCAGGAGCCGTACTTATAATTTTACAGTATTTTTTTTAATTTTTTACAGTATTTATTGTTTTATTTACAGTATTTATTGGAACAGACACATGACTGTCCCCAGAAAAGGACCCTCCAGTGATTTTCGCACCAAACCATTTTTCGAACATATCTAGAAGTGAACATATCGTCTACATAGACGTGTTCACTGAACTGAGATCTTTGATTTTGACGGTATATATAAAACGCGTCCGTGTATACAAAAAGGGACTGATTTGAGTGAAAAAAAAAAACAGTTCCGTGCCGGTTTTTCTTAATGTGCTGGTTGAATTATTTGCATCTCTATCCCTTCTTGTGGCTGCTTGTTTTCTCGATTTCCTAAATGGAGAATTTCCAAAAATGCTTGGCGAAATTTCTTCATGCGCCAACAGTAAATAACTGGATTGCACAGGGAACTCAACATTATTAACGTTGCCACCCAGCTCGCCAGGCAGTTTAAAACAGGCCGTTGTAGATTCACAGAATAATACATTATACTGGATACTATCATTGGCAGGTATGTTACAATTAATGTAATAAGGATGATTCCAAGGGTTTTGGCCGCTCGGTTGTTTCTTCTGATTGTTGCAATTTCTTCTACGCTTAAATGCTCAGTCTGAGATCTTTGTTGGCGCTGGACTTCCAAGAAAATGTACAAGTAAATTGCTACGATGACAATTATAGAAATCAAACCTAAAATGTTGAACGTTACGACCGTTAGGTTCCAATAAACACTATAAATGTTTGTGTCACTGTTTATTGCAGCAAGAATGCTATCTTGAATTGCCACAAATATCGTTGAAGCCCACGCTAAAAGCACAGCGACTGTTACCCGTCGTGTTGTGACAATCTCTCGATACCTTAACGGTTTTTTAATAGCAATGTACCTATCAACAGTTATTAGTAGAAGATGAGACAAGGTCGCGAAGATATGCCATCCTAAGGATAAAATACTTACTCTTTCCAAAACTCCACAAAATGTGCCAGTTTTCCGTAGTCGCTGCACTTCTGTCGCTATTCGTATCGGCTGTCCCAGCAGCCCTGTCAAAAGATCCGCCCCGGCCAGGCACGCCAGAAGGATTGTCGCTTTATTTCGCAACTGTCCTCTTGTTGCGACAGCAAAGATCACCAGAGCATTCAACAACACAGTTGGTAAAACTGAGATGGAATTGATGCTGATTATAGCGAGCAGGTGGTTGTAGGTACCTTCTGTCACCAGGAACTCATCTCGCCAAGCCACATCCTTCAAATACGGACATTCCGCTGGTTTGAAGTTGGACGAAGAAGTATTCGCCATGTTATTTTACTTTAAGGGTGCCATAAAAGTATACAGACTCTTAGAAAAGGCGCGATGCGAACAAAATCAAAACGGTTTTTGAATCACAACTAAATTTTTCGTCCTTTTTTTTATTTTATTTTTCATCAACAAAGCTTGAATTTCATTGGTCAGTTTACGTAAAAAAATGATTTCCATTTCCGAAAGGGACACAAAGCTGCTATTGTGCATCTGAAGGCTGACTATCTTCTTACTCAGTGTATTTTAGTGTTATTTATTATATGATTAGTTAAAACATTTATTCCCAAATCCGGCTTTAAATACGGAAGGTCGATTTTCATGCAATCGTTTTCAGACTCCTCTTTTCGTAAAGTCTGCCTAATTTTGTGGATTAACACTCAATTGTTTCCTGAAAGGTGCAATTTTCTTTGAACATGAGATTTTCCAAAGAAGATCTGATGCAAATACCTACTCTGAGTTAATTGTTCGAATAACGTTGTTATAGCAAAATAAGAAAAAAAGAGAATTAGAACTGCTGAGTAGGAATAAATTATTGGCACGCTCTCTACATTCAGATCAGGATCTGATCTGACCAACATTTTTACAGACAGTGGCCAGTTTACACTGAATTTATCCTCTCTAAGCTCAGTTAATGTCAAATTGAAATATTATACCGTGCTGCTGCTGAAAAGTGTTCAGGATTATCAAAATATCAAACGTAATTTGCATGACTACTGGATTAATTCTTATTCGAGTGTGAACTGCGGAAATAAAATTTTTTAAATGAAGATATGATCATCGAAGTGGTAATTGCAATTTAAGCAATTGCAAATAAACCCGAAAAAAAAAGAAACTTGGGACTCCAGCGGGATTCGTTTCCATGGCTACACCCTTGGAGGTATGAAGACCCACACATTGGGAGCAGACCAATTTGTTGAGTTCATCTTAACCAGTGAANAAAAAAAAAAAAAAAAACAAGAAAAAAATCAGGAAGCCAGGCAGCTGGTCTAGAAAGTCTGACGCGGGAGTCAAGTCGAAACTTAATAAAAAGAGGAGCTGCGCACTACAACCGACTCGCTCTTATCCTTATGCGCCCACCCCTCCCCACCCACCGCCCAGCCTAGTTGGCTCGAGTGGTCAATAGAAAATCAAAACGACTGACAACGACGATTTTGAACGTATCACAGTGTCGTAATGTTGGAACAGTGTTGCAACCATTCCAAACAATGTTGCAATATAGTTACGATGCTATGTCACGCTAAAAGTCGTCGTTGCGAATCGTCTTATGTCACATCACCGTTAGACAGCTCATCATGTGTGCAAAACGAACATTACTGCTTGAAATAATTGATATATGCTCGCGCAGAACCCGACTTATGTCATTATAAAATTCGTTTTTTAGATCACAAAATAAAATTTTACTTTGTTATAAAATTCGATTCGATTTTTACAATTTTCGATGTTTTTCTCTGCTATTTTAAGATAGCCTGCGTAGCATGCGTTTCTGTGCGGTTTCGGAGCAAAGAACGAGGAACGAGAGTCAAAGACCGCGCGAAAAATGGTGGCTCTTGTTTCATTTCTCGCGGGGTCAAAACCGAAAGTGCCCTTCCTCGGTCTTTCTTTGCTTCGAAACCAAACGGAAACGCTTGCTACGCAGGCTAATTTTAAGAGTGGGTCCTTATGGCTCTGAGTGAGTCTTAATGTCGATCGTACGTTTTTATATTGAGGGAAATACTACAGAACAATATATTCAGTGGCGGATCCAAGGGAGGGGCCCGGGCTCCCCGCTCCCCCCCCCGCTTTTTATCCGGGGGTCGCGGACCCCCCCCCCCCCCTCCTTGTTACCTGAGACCGCCCCTTACACTTCCACCGTTTTAATTATCTATCACAAACTTAGCTAGAAAGAAAAAAGTTTTCACCTTTTCAGTGCAATAACATGAGGGTGTAAGCACCAACGAACACCATATACGATTAATATTAGTCTGTTCTTTTCTCAGCNATTTCTAAGTATAGAAAATAAACAGACAAAAACAGTCCCGAACGATTCCTATGGTTAAAACTGGCATAAAACAACTTGTTTTTGTTTAGAAGCAATAAAGAGAAAACGGAAAATAAGGGGAAAACTTTGTCACGTGGTACAAATTCACGTCTGCCGTTTGGCGTAAACGTAAATCTTAATCTCTGTAATACAAGAAATCTCGGTCGAGTTTGTTTACTCTAAACAACAGAAAATAAAGAACTTTTCATTATAAAGACGATAATGACAAATTATGGGTAGAAGTAAACATCGTTACTTCTTTGGATGCTGTAGCAACCGTAGATGTCCTCTCAGCAAACAATAATGACGTAAATCTTGTCGAAACTCCAAATGTACCTTTTGCTAGTCTATTCAATCGTCGTCTTGTTTTAATAGCATAAACAAACTCGACGGCGGTTTCTTGCATTGGCAGCTTTTATCATTATTTTGTTTGCCCCCTGAAAAACCACGCGACATTGCTTTTTTCCCATCTTGCTTTCTTCCCATCAGTCCTTTAACGCGTGCAAAGATGGCGGATTAAGAATGTACCCCCAGCACAAGAATCCCGCCAGCTAAAGCAGGCTAACAAGATAGCAATGCAGAGACCCGTGAAAACGCAAAGAGCGAGAAGGCACTTTTTTACCGCCACCGCCCCATTCCCCAGATCGCGTGCGTCTTATATTGTTTTTTTTTATCAGGCTACCTGTTTCACGGAATATATAATAATTTTACTTACAGTATCAGGAGCCGTAATTATAATTTTACAGTATTTTTTTTTAATTTTTTACAGTATTTATTGTTTTATTTACAGTATTTATTGGAACAGACACATGACTTTCCCCAGAAAAGGACCCTCCAGTGATTTTCGCACCAAACCATTTTTCTAATATATCTAGAAGTGAACATATCGTCTACATAGACGTGTTCCCTGAACTGAGATCTTTGATTTTGACGGTATAAAACGCGTCCGTGTATACAAAAAGGGACTGACTTGAGTGAAAAAAAAAACAGTTCAGTGCTGGTTTTTCTTAATGTGCTGGTTGAATTATTTGCATCTCTATCGCTCTTTGTGGCTGATTGTTTTCTCGATTTCTTAAATGGAGAATTTCCAAAAAAGCTTGGCGAAATTTCTTCATGCGCCAACAGTAAATAACTGGATTGCACAGGGAACTCAACATTATTAACGTTGCCACCCAGCTCGCCAGGCAGTTTAAAACAGGCCGTTGTAGATTCACAGAATAATACATTATACTGGATACTATCATTGGCAGGTATGTTACAATTAATGTAATAAGGATGATTCCAAGGGTTTTGGCCGCTCGGTTGTTTCTTCTGATTGTTGCAATTTCTTCTACGCTTAAATGCTCAGTCTGAGATCTTTGTTGGCGCTGGACTTCCAAGAAAATGTACAAGTAAATTGCTACGATGACAATTATAGAAATCAAACCTAAAATGTTGAACGTTACGACCGTTAGGTTCCAATAAACACTATAAATGTTTGTGTCACTGTTTATTGCAGCAAGAATGCTATCTTGAATTGCCACAAATATCGTTGAAGCCCACGCTAAAAGCACAGCGACTGTTACCCGTCGTGTTGTGACAATCTCTCGATACCTTAACGGTTTTTTAATAGCAATGTACCTATCAACAGTTATTAGTAGAAGATGAGACAAGGTCGCGAAGATATGCCATCCTAAGGATAAAATACTTACTCTTTCCAAAACTCCACAAAATGTGCCAGTTTTCCGTAGTCGCTGCACTTCTGTCGCTATTCGTATCGGCTGTCCCAGCAGCCCTGTCAAAAGATCCGCCCCGGCCAGGCACGCCAGAAGGATTGTCGCTTTATTTCGCAACTGTCCTCTTGTTGCGACAGCAAAGATCACCAGAGCATTCAACAACACAGTTGGTAAAACTGAGATGGAATTGATGCTGATTATAGCGAGCAGGTGGTTGTAGGTACCTTCTGTCACCAGGAACTCATCTCGCCAAGCCACATCCTTCAAATACGGACATTCCGCTGGTTTGAAGTTGGACGAAGAAGTATTCGCCATGTTATTTTACTTTAAGGGTGCCATAAAAGTATACAGACTCTTAGAAAAGGCGCGATGCGAACAAAATCAAAACGGTTTTTGAATCACAACTAAATTTTTCGTCCTTTTTTTTATTTTATTTTTCATCAACAAAGCTTGAATTTCATTGGTCAGTTTACGTAAAAAAATGATTTCCATTTCCGAAAGGGACACAAAGCTGCTATTGTGCATCTGAAGGCTGACTATCTTCTTACTCAGTGTATTTTAGTGTTATTTATTATATGATTAGTTAAAACATTTATTCCCAAATCCGGCTTTAAAAACGGAAGGTCGATTTTCATGCAATCGTTTTCAGACTCCTCTTTTCGTAAAGTCTGCCTAATTTTGTGGATTAACACTCAATTGTTTCCTGAAAGGTGCAATTTTCTTTGAACATGAAATTTTCCAAAGAAGATCTGATGCAGATACCTACTCTGAGTTAATTGTTCGAATAACGTTGTTATAGCAAAATAAGAAAAAAAGAGAATTAGAACTGCTGAGTAGGAATAAATTATTGGCACGCTCTCTACATTCAGATCAGGATCTGATCTGACCAACATTTTTACAGACAGTGGCCAGTTTACACTGAATTTATCCTCTCTAAACTCAGTTAATGTCAAATTGAAATATTATACCGTGCTGCTGCTGAAAAGTGTTCAGGATTATCAAAATATCAAACGTAATTTGCATGACTACTGGATTAATTCTTATTCGAGTGTGAACTGCGGAAATAAAATTTTTTAAATGAAGATATGATCATCGAAGTGGTAATTGCAATTTAAGCAATTGCAAATAAACCCGAAAAAAAAAGAAACTTGGGACTCCAGCGGGATTCGTTTCCATGGCTACACCCTTGGAGGTATGAAGACCCACACATTGGGAGCAGACCAATTTGTTGAGTTCATCTTAACCAGTGAAAGGAAAACTTGGTCACGTGGCACAAATTGACTCTCGCCGTCTGCCGTGTCTCTCTAATGTGAGTGCCTTGTCACCTGACCTTAAATAAACTAGCTCTTCTTCTGTTTGACCCAAGTCCTAAACCCCTCTTAAAACGGCCACCTTTCTGCAACGGCAACTTTCTTCTATCCCCAAGGTGGCCTTTGTGGAGATGTTTAACTGAGTTTGCATTAGATTCGTCTTTGGAAAGCGTCATTTCCAAAGAGACGTTTGCACATCAAACAAAATTGCACCTGTTAGAAACAACTGTATGTTGATTGACAAAATTAGGCAGGGAGAAGAAAGGAGAGATGAAAGGAATACAGTACCCTCAACGCTCATTAACATGGCGAATAATTCTTCGTCTAACGAATTCTATATAAATCAGAGAAATGTCCTTTTTTGGGGGGAGCAGCTTAGCGAGAAGATCATGAGTTCCTGCTGACAGAAGGTACCTACAACCATCTGGTTGAGCAATCAGCATCAATTCCTTCTTAGTTTTACCAACTGTGCTGTTAAATGTTTTAGTGATCTTTACTGTAGCAACAAGAGAATAGTTGCGAAATAAATCGACAATTCTTTTGGCTTGCCTGGCCGGGGCGAGAGTGCGGATAAAAAATGAAACGTCCCAATCCAACCGGCTACGTACGATGTTTCTTGTTTTAAACAGACGAGTCGAAGTTTACTTGAACTTTCTAAAATAGCGTTTTTAAGTCCTAATGAGTTGACCGTGGTAAAATAAAATAAAGTTATTCATTATTCTACAAAGTGGGGCAGCCGCCCCCCCACAAAAAAGTCGCCTCTTCCCCCCCCCCCCCCCCCCCCCCCCCCCCCCCCCCCCCCCCCACCCCCTTTTTTTTACTTTGGGCCTGGGGGAAATTCGCCCGGACCTTTTTTTGAATTTTTTCCTTTAACAAAACAAAAAAAAAACAAACAAACAAAACAAAAAAAAAGAAAATAAATAAACCCAACCAAACCAAAAAAAACAAACAAAAATCTATATTT